GAAGATACAGTCTCTAATTAACAGAAACAAAAAACAAAAAAGAAAACAAGAACAAAAACAAAAACCAGAAAAAAAAAAACAAAAGAACAGAGAAATTTTCAATCATCATTTTGCTATCAGGAGTTGCATTTCTATACTTACTGTGTTCTGTATGAGTAAATTGAGCCTCTTCCTTCTCACATCGCTTTGAAACTAATTAAAAAATATTTGTGGATAATAAAGTGTGTCTATTATTGAAATATAAGGGGCTTATTTATATAAGTCTACATGAGCAATAAAAGAAAATACACTTAATTACAACGAGACGAGTATATTACTAATATATCTTTTATCTTACTTTAATACACTTTACACTTCTTAACACTCCTCAAACTGGTGAATAGATATCATCCATCCTCAACTTGATATTATACTCTAAAATTAATCATTTAATCAATACATTGGCAAGTTGCAAAATGGTAGGCATAATGAAGTGCATATCAATCCACCATCCAGTTTCTCCTTGATGAAATGTCTATCTACTTCTATATGTTTTGTCCTATCATGTTGCACCAGATTGTGAAAGATACTAATAACCAATTTATTGCCGTAGTAGAGTAGGTCCATCCTACTAAATCTTCAGATCTTTTAAAATCATTTTCAACCACAAGAGTTCACACACCCCTCCAGCCATAGCCTTGAACTCTGACTCTTCACCAGACCGGACTACCACATTCTATTTTTTACTTCTCCAAGTCAAAAAATTTTCCCTAAGAAAGATACAATATCCAGAAGTAGATCTTCTATCAACCAGTGATCCTACATAGTCAGCATTAATGTATGTTTTAAGAAGTAGCTCCTTGTTTCTTTTGAACATAATTTCCTTCCCATGAGTACCTTTCAAGTAGTGAAGGATTCTGTAGGCAGTTTGCAGATGCACTTCTTTGGGTTTGTGCATGAACTAGCTCACTACATTAATTGCATATACAATGTCTGGCTTGGTACGTGACAAGTACATCAATTTCCCTACTAGTCTTCGGTACATTTCCTTGTTCACCTTTGGATCTTCCTCTACTTGTCCCAGTTTATGATTGGGATCAATTGGTATACTAACAGTTTACATGCTAACTTGCCATTTTCCTCCAGACGATTTGCAACATATTTTTGCTGTAAGATAAATATTCCTGATTTTGAGTAAGTCAATTCAATATTGAGGAAGTATTTTAATTTTTCAAATTTTTTATTTTCGAATTCTCTAGCTAAGTATTGTTTGAGAATTATCTTTTTTCTTTCATTCTTCCATATAACAATTATATCATCTATATATACGAGAAGGGTTGTGACTCCCCTAACTTCGAATGCTTATTGAACAGGATGTGATCTCCTTAACTCTATTTGTAACACATGAATAGCATAATCTTTACAAATCTCGACAAACCAGATAGGCAGCTCAAATTAGAATTTTAAATTTGGATATTCTAAAGAAAAGAGGAGGATCTTGACTAACAGAAGTTTTCTATGCTTGAACAAGGAAGAATCCCCCCAATCATCTTCTTCTTTGGTGTCCTGGGAGTAGAATATTATGGGATTCAGCACTTTCTTTTCTCAACCTCTATGGGTTGATGGGCTCTTCTGTTTAAGTATGAGTTATGAATGTGGGGTGGTATTGCTTCTTATAAGTCTAAAAAGAAGATTATCTCTATCATTCCTCTTTTTAATTTTTGGGTTATCACAAAGAAGCCAAAAAATAAGCTTTTTGACAACTTCTCAGCCCATTTTCATAGATCAGAGAGAGTAGGTTTAGAATTGCTTAATGAGTACTCCATCGCTAACAGTGTTGATATTTTGAATCTTTTTTATCTTCTCTCCTGTAAGAGATTGTAAATTCTGTAGCTTTCTTTTTTCTTTTTTACTGGGTTGCACCACCTTAGTGCTCTTAATAGAATTTTTCCTTCCTTCAAAAAAAAAATAGAAAATAAGCAGCAAATGACTTGATATTACAAGAGGATAGTCTTTTAACTATATAAGAAACGTTATTTGATTAACTTAATCTAATATATTTTATTCTTTAAACATGTAAGAAATACTTTTGGAATTTTCCCCTTTGCCTTCTTTCATCTATATGGAACAGCGTGAAGGCATCATCAAATAAAGATCAATAATCAAAAGAATAGCCATGAAAGCAAAAGATAATGTTTTAAGAATTTCAAAAGAACTCTAGATGAAACCTGAAACCAAAGTTGCTGCAAAAACCTGAAAACAATAGATTCAGGTCTGCTGATCAAAGGATATGCCACGCTGATACCAGGCCCAAACTTCGCTTCTTCTATCAATTTTACTAAGAGTCTTTCCAAAATGGCAAGCAAATTAGTTGCAGCTGCTTTAACTGATTTAGAAGGAGAAGACATAAGGCTGATAACAGGAAATATTACTAAAAGCTCCTCACTTAGATTGTGCGTGTTTGTACCAACAACATTTTCTGCAAAAGTGAATATATCAATGTCTCAACAAAAAGTAGAGAAATAACAGTTCTCAATGACCTAAGAGAGAAATTTTCCTTTACATAAGTTGATAAAAGAGAGATGAAAGTCACAGCATATTCATTCAAGAACTAAAGCATCTATTTTTGGTAAGAGTAAATCTTGTAAGTTACAAATTAAAGCACAAAGCAATACCATATATAGCTAATTTGTATATTATTGGAAGTTAGAAGCCTTGGGCTTTGAATGTAATCAACTTAACCTAGAACCTCTTGGGCATACACGTAGTAGCCAACACCTACATCTGAAGGAGAAGAAGCAAGCAAGACAACAAGAACCACCAAGATTAGATTGAGAGAACATACCATTTTCACCTTTCCATTTCAAGAGGAAATAAAAGAAATCCAATATAGATAGTTGCTCATGTTCAAGGTCAGTGTCAACAAGGATAATAAATAAGGATAAGATCGCCGACGATAATCTAGGTACATATGACAACTCAAGATCTGCTTGTACAGCCAATAAGTGCTTCAGTACTTCAAGTATAGGCTCAACACCAGTGTGTTTGTTAGGAGATGTATGGAGAGAGAGTACTGTCTCTAATAATTCCACGCCACAAAGTTGGGCTTCAATAATAGGCTGCTCGTACAGACAGAAAATAAATAAAGAAATAACAAATGACAAATAGCAGTAAACGGGAACCAGTCAGAATGAGGACAGGAAATTTCCAAGATTCCAAAACATACCAATTTCATTCCAACCAAGCATCTCAAAACCACAATATATGCATCCACTATAGATTCCACAGCATAGTTGAAATTCCTAACCTCCTGAAAGTTTCAACCATTTTTAACCCCAAATAATAAGAACATTATTCCTAAATCCCAATTTAGTGGTTTAAGTTTGAAAGAAGAAAGAGACAGACACAAATCATAAGCAAAAGAAATGATTGCTAAATGATTATACTTACCTCTAAGTTCTTGCATGGGAAATACTGAAGGCAGCTTATAAGTAGCTTGAATACTGGCAATGCCTCATTAGGAAAAGAACAACAAAGCGATGCCATTGATGAAATTAACTGCCTCATAAACAAAGATGATGAGGTATCGCTAGAAGGTAATCCTAAGATGGAAAAGTTCATAAAAGGCTTCAAGAATTCACAAACTTCCACCATGCCCAACTGTCTATTCTTCGCCATAAATAGCAACACTTCCCGGGTAAGCTCGGAATGGACCTGAGCTCCACAAGAAAGAATCTGCAACCAAGCGATACCAAACCGCTTCAGAATTTAAAAATGCTCCCAAATTGAGTTAAAGTTCAAATTCTTCAGGTGAAGTACCTAGATTGCATCTAACCCAAATGCTTCAACAATTTACACTAACTGCTCCTATGCTAAAATAACTTCAAAACGATATTGAAGCAAATTGATACTGTTCTCCATTATAACCAATCCAATCCAAGGAAAAAAGATATGATCAAAATTCAGCAGTTACCAACCTTGAACAACTTATCAAATGAAGAATTCAGTCCAAAGCTCACGAAATGAGTTCACAAAAGATCTAAACAACAAAAATAAGTAGAAGCTAATATTTAAAACAAAATGAAAAGTAATTTCAAACTGATATCAAATTCTACCACCTTAACAAAGGGGTGATTCTCCGTGGAACTGAGCTTCCACGATCCATTTTTCTTCTTGAAACCTACTCGAACGAGAAAACCAAGTCCCTTGACGAACAAAGGTACGAATTTCAGGTCGGATTCTTCCAGGGAGGACTGAAGCTCCACCAACCCGCGAGAGAGGTCCAATTTTGAATCTGAGACGAGGCGACAGAGCTCGCGAACAGTTTGGTCGACTACGGCCGGCGAACGAGAGTGAAGGCACTGAGAGATGGCTTCCCTTCCGGGTCCAGATTCGATTCCCATGTGGGCCGGGGCAGACCGGAGCTTGGAGAAGATTGAGATTACTGCGAGTTTCTGGAGCGAGGGTTGTGGGACCCTCGTTTTCTCTAGTAAGGGAGTGTACAAATCCATTGTTTAACAGACCAGATAGCTTGGGACGGAGGAAGAGATGGTGGAGAAATTGTTTGCACAGCAAAAACCCTCTTGCTTGAAGAAACACTGAAAGAGGAAACGGTGCGTTTAACGGTTTGAGAGGGAAAAGAGCGCGTGCACTTACAGTCATCTGCAAAGCGGTGAGGATTGAAGGTAGCTGGCAAAACATATTATTAGTGCAAATTACATAAATACCATTTTCTTATTTGATGAAATCCGTAATCGATAAAATTACAAAAATACCACTTAGATTATATCTAAATTATTAAATATATTAACTCAAATTATAAATAATTAAATAAATTTTAGATTATGGCTAGAATAAATCAACTTTTAATTTATTTATATATTTAAATAAAGATATTCCAAACATAAAAATTAAGATATTTACAGGCTGATCAAGCGATCTGTATTCGAATTTATTGTAGAGAAACATAATATCTAATACTTAATAAGGTTTTACAATAATCAACAACAAATATAACTTCTCTTCTTTTTTAACCAACAGATCAAATGTCGTTCTCTTGTCCGTAAAACCACAAAACCCCAGGCTCTCTCCCCTTTCTATCTGCACTAGAATCCGTCGACGGTGACGATGGCTCTGACGGAGCTCGATGACGATATGGTGGCCAGCATGACTATAGGAGCCATCTTCTCCGATTTCGTACGGCCTCTCTTCCTCTCAACTTCTCGATATTCTCTCTTCAAGTTTCAAGGATTCTGTTCACTAACTGGAGGAAACACTGAATTAAAACGTCCAGTGCTCTAATCTCACTCCTCATGCATTGGAATCGTTATTTAATCTAATTTCAAATTTTTTTTATTTCAGCGTTTTAGCATTCGATTAATCTGTTGTTCTTTTGATCTTTAAGTAGATTTTTAAGGGTTAGATATTTTCAGGGTGGTAGGATGAACTCAATTGACTTTCATCGTAAGGACGATCTTCTGGTCACAGCCAGCGAGGATGATTCAGTTCGGTTCTATGATATCGCCAATGCTAAGTGAGTCCTTATTTTCTCTGGGATTTTCACTTGGATTTTATGCAATTTTTCATGCTACCTTTCGGAGACCTAATGACATTTGCAGGGCGTTTGTTCTAATTTATTTTTCACTCATTGAAAGTTTTAGAGGTAGATTGCTGGTTGAAGAGTTTTCTTCTCTGCGATTACATGTAATATCATGCTAGTTTACAGAAACCCAATGATACTGGCTGGGCTTTTCGGTGTTAATTTGTTTTTCATGACCTGAAGGTTTGGGAAGTACATTACTTGCTGAAGGCGAAAAGATAATGCAGGGAATGCTGAATCTAGGATGGTCTTCCTAACTTGTTTAGTGAATAGAGTTTTGCACTCTTAGCTATGTTATCATTCCAAACTGGTGAAGGTTGACGTAGTAAGACTTCAAAATGGAATTGAAACGATTCATTTTAAAGTCTATTAATTGACATGTGTTGTCTCAATTCCATTTGAAATGTTTGAGAGGTTATTTTCATTGCTTAGAAAGAAAATTTTAAATTCTTTAGGATTTCAATATTCATACATCATAATTTGGCTAAATTTAAATTTCCAAATGAATTTGACAAAGGAAGTTATTGGAACTTTGTTCCAAACATAGCCTTAGATTGTAGAATTGAAGTTAAAGAATAATATTATTCCGCATGCCTATTTTCTTATTGATATAATTTTTGTGTTTTAAATATATATTTAGTCAATTGGATGGCTAGAATGGAACAACTTGAAGTGTAAATATATATATATATATCTATATATATATATATATGCGTATGTACATGTATGGATATGTTATGTTTCTCAATTTTTTGTCAATTTCAGGTTGCTGAAGACAACATATCATAAGAAACATGGCACTGATAGAATATGCTTTACCCATCATCCCAGCTCGGTTATATGCTCGTCAAGATATAATTTGGATTCTACTGGAGGTAAGTTTTTGGAGTATGAGGTAGTTGATTTGAGTTATGATTGAGTGCCTTTTTATGAATAAGGGCTTTCTAAAAAAAAATTATGAATAAGACCTTTATGTTGTTTCTTTTGCCAGAATCATTGCGGTATCTTTCAATGTACGATAATAGATGCCTTCGCTACTTCAAGGGGCATAAAGAGAGGTCGAATCCCATGAAGTGTCTTTAATCTTTTGATTTGGAAATCGGGTCACATATTTTTGTTTAATAAATATAAGTTGTTCGTAAATGCATATGTCAATAAGTCGATCTCATTCTTCTTTTATGAAAAGGGAAACATAGAATGAGAGTGATAAGAATTAATGGGTGGAAAGCGCATAGTTATAATGAATCTGTATGTTATCTGCAAGATCAGTCATATGCATATTTTGATACTTGAGTAATCTGGTTATTGTTTCACATGCAAGTAATTCAGCTATCAATTTAACTAATAGATTTGACACTATATGAGTCGTCACAGCTTCTTTTTAATAATATAAGAGGAAGAATTGTTACGGAATTGCCTTTTTGCTTCTACTTCATTCTAAAAATGCTACAGATAAGGGGTCATAAGTTCATGTGCAAGTTTCCCCCTTTTCTGGAAGCTACAGTTATTTACTTTTCTCTTTACTTTTCTCGTCTGTTGTAGGGTTGTCTCCCTCTGCTTGTCTCCTGTAAACGATAGTTTCATGTCTGGTTCTCTTGATCACACCGTCAGAATATGGGATCTTCGTGTGAATGCATGCCAGGTAGGTTTCCAGTGTGTTTTGAATTCTATGCACTTGAGATTAGTTAGAGGAAGAACAAAGAAAAGCTAAGGTGTATAGATGGATAAAATTTCTAATCAATCTTGGCACACTGAAGCTGAGGTGTTTATATGGCAATGCAACAAATGCTTTTAGGATCATAATATTCATTTTTATTATTATGAAAGATGAATTGGCAAGAGATAAATCAAAGGTTTTTTCTGTCTAATACAGAACTTTATTTCATGAATCACCAGAACTAGGTATTGCTTGTCACACATGTTATTTTCACTGTGGTTATTCAGGTTACACGGGCTTATCTTTGGTTAGATATAGTTTGCATTCAGTAATTGAGGGTTAGACACTGTTGTGATTTGCTTACTGCTGTAGTTTTCAGGGAATTCTGCGGTTGCGGGGTAGACCCACAGTTGCATATGATCAACAAGGTTTGGTCTTTGCTGTGGCAATGGAAGGGGGTGCTATAAAATTATTTGATTCACGTTCCTATGACAAGGTGCTTTCCTGTGTCACTTACTTTTGTAGCATTTTTGAGATAGTGATTTGATTTGTTTCTCTTTTGTAGGGTCCTTTTGATACATTTTTAGTTGGTGGAGATACTGCTGAAGTTTGTGATATAAAATTCAGCAATGATGCAATCGATGCTCCTTACAACTACAAATGACAATATTTATGTTCTTGATGCATACGGAGGGGAGAAGGTTAGTTCCATGTCTGAAATTTGTTGAATGGAAGAATAGTCATAGGATTACATTTACCTGCAGAAGATGTAGTTCTGTTACATTTAAGTCCAGTAGAAAACAGATTGTCTTGTGCCTTGTGTGCATTTCATACATTTCACAAACTAGCTAGTTGTAATACTTCAACTTTTGCAGCGCTGTGGGTTTAGTTTGGAACCGTCTCCAAATACAATTATGGAAGCAACTTTTACCCCAGATGGCAAGTATGTGGTCTCAGGTATGGAATTCTTACGCCCTGTTAGTAGTAACTTATTTTCTTTTCAATCTCCTATCCCCAAATTGAGTGCAACTAGCAGTAAATGTTTAGAAGAGATGTTAGTTTAGCTGTTTATGCATAACATCATATAGCTTGTATGTAGTTATTCTCGTGTGAATCAGTTCCAAGAATGTAGTCAGAAATTGTTCCAACTCTCACCATAAAGTTTGCACATTAAAGCAACCTTCATCATATTCTCTTAGTTTACAGATAGTCACTTTTGGTTCAGTGCGAAATAAGCCTATTGACATGCAAATCCCCAATTGTTAATATTGGTCCAATATCAGTATTAAGTCTAATGTTTCTTTTGTCAAAGGCTCAGGAGATGGAACTTTGCATGCTTGGAGCATTGACACGCGAACTGAGGTATGTAACTATTTCTTGAAGTTCTTGATATTTTTATGAAGAGTACCGATTGACTATTAAGCACTAAAATTTGTTCTATTACCAGATATTGGTCGTTTCCTACCTTTTTTGTTTTGGACAGTAAAGTGTAGGTCCGAACTTTCTCGATACCCACTTAGCTACCTGATTTTCCTAAATTTTGCATATGGCCTCTTTTAATCATTCCATTAATTTGTCGAACTGGATATGAGGGATACAGGAAAGGTCATGCGAAATTAGAAAAAAACACGCATTTTGAAATTTATATTACAAAAATAAAATACTAGTACACTTCCAAATAAAGTTATTTTAGATTCTTCTGAGGAGAATGCTTTGGTCCAATTTTTTTCTTGGGAAAAGAACTGCAAATATGCTCCTCAATAGTCTTCTTCAAAAAAAGACCTACAGTCTTTAGGATCTGATGCTTCTCAAGAGCTTCTTAACATAGTTGACTATTAATGTTAAAGTCTGGCCCACCCTCCGGCTAGTGGATCCGGGACCTGGCTTGGGCTCACCCGATATCCTGAACCATGGAAGTATCCTGGATTACTTGGGTCACAGTCCTCCATTTGAGTCTGGATCTTAAATTGTTGTCCAAAATACCAGCCTGGTATACAATCTCTTAACCCAGTAAAGAACAACTGGTGTCAATTTCTTCCAAGGCTCCAGTCCTACGTCACATTCACGGTCCAGCTTAAGTCAAAACACACTTTTATGTTTATTGGTGCTTATATATGTTCAAATCTTATTTTCATGTGAAAATAAGATCACTATGGAAATATCTTATAAAATAACCCAATGGGAGTATGGTGTACTGTCTCAACATATTGGTTGAGATTTAAGTAAAATTTCGGCAACTAAACACAGCCCAAATGGGCCTGTATAATTCAAGACTGTTTGTTATTACATTTCCAAGCCTAAAATTTCGCAAGCAATCAATAAAACACTGAATACAGAGCATGCTTGGGAGATAAGATTTTTGGGATGATAACAACTAATGCTGACTAATGAGGTTAATTGGCCTACTGCACAGGTGGCAAGCTGGAGTAGCCAGATAGGCATAGTGACTTGTTTGAAATGGGCTCCTCGTAGGGCCATGTTTGTGACTGCATCATCTGTTCTCACTTTCTGGATTCCAAACAACGAAAAGTCAACAGCTACTGAGCCAGGTTTCATGGAAACTCAAGCTGGAGCTCAAGCTGATCATGTTCCTCAATGATTCGTAAGTCTCTCTTTAGTAACTTAAAAATAATAAATAAGAATCTGGTTTAGTAATTCTTTGGAAATATCCGAGCCCGGTTGAAAGTTTTGTGTATGCTTGACTTAGCTCTAGCTTTGTAATCTCCCTTCCCACCCCCCCTCTTTCTCTCTCTTCATCAAGAGTATATGGTAAAAGTGATTAGTTAATTTTGTTAAGTTTATAACTATTAAGCTTTTAGTGATTTATCTAATGAATCAGATATTTATTCCAGCTCCCCCCCCCCCCAAAAAAAAAACCCTAACTTACATGAAATCTTATGAAATAGGTTTACATGAAATCATGTTAAAAATAGTATAAGGTAACGATTGAGATCTATTAATTAATTTGTGGAGACCTCTCGGGAAATTTGAGGTGGAACCAAAATAATTGATGAAATCTAAAATATATTGTTTTAATTCACTTAACTTAGCTTTTTAGTGAGAGCTACAATTTGACACTTATTCTAGAGAGAGAAATTGCTTAGTGTATCTACTGGAGAGCCTCCTTCATGCCAGTCTCATCCCAAGGAGATTTTTGGTCATTGAGTGGAAGTCTTTCAATATTTTCTTGAAGGTAGATCATTTAACCTATGAGGGTCTCATGAAATGGTAAGGGATTTCCAGACTCTCCATTTCACTTGCTCGATATGAGATTGGCTGCGTCCTACTTTGGTTGACCGGTTTCTTCTAGGTTATGAATTCATGGTTTAGAAGTACTAAAGGTGCAGGGAAAACTCCGCTGGTCACCTTAGGTTGTAACAGTGGGTTGAGCTTTTAGCATTAACAGAGGAAGTTGCTGATACACAAAGAATAATCTTCCCTGAGGGAATAGAGGTTAACAAGTGGTGGTGAGTTTTGTTAACGTTGGAGAGCTAGCTTGGAAAACTTGTTTCTGCTAAAGAATCTTGTTTTGGGACAGAGGTACAGAGTGAAAAGGAAAAGTTCGTGCAATTAGTGTCATAGTAGCTTGGATGGACAGTTGCTGGCGTGTTGCAAATGTCATTGTGTTACCTTGCATGTTAACTGAAGATGCTTTTGAGAGTGAAGATTATATGCAGTAAGGAAACAATCATTTGTAGATGTGGCTAGGGTTAAGGTGGAGAAGAAGAGACGCAAGTCTGCAAGTCAGGCTAAATTCAAAAATCAGGTCTCATTTTTGGCACTAGAGCTTAGATTGTTGTGATACTTGAGTTACCATAATTTGCTTAAGCCTAAGCCTCCGGAGCTAAATACTTTCATTAAGGATAAGGGTAAATGGATCTAAGTAAAAAGAGAAAACTAAGGAGAAATTCTAAGCCTGTTTGGCCTAAGCCTCCAGTCAAGTCATTCTACTTGCACGTGACCAAAAGTGAGGTAGTTAACAAAAATTTTCCCTAAAGGCTGATCTGGAAAATAAAAGCAACTCCTATATTAGCTTTTTTTTTATGGAAGGCTGCATGAAAACATATTTTTACGGTGGACAGGCTGATCAGGAGGGATAAAATCTTGGTAAGCAGATGTTATATGTGTAAGGAGAATTCAGAGTCGTGCAACCATATCTTCCTTGATGTCCATATGCTCACTGTCTCTGGTTTTGATTACAGGCTTTTAGGTCTAAGTTGGGTCATTCCTGGGAGGAGTTAGGAATGTGAAACGGCATCCAAAAAGTGATAGGCAATCTCTACAACTTTTTCGACTTCGTTTTGGATAATTTGGAAAGAGAGAAACATGAGGGTTTTCGAAGTAATAAAACTTTTTGACTTAATAGAATTAAAGACTCTTGGTTCCAGGTCTTTAATTTTTAATTAGGGTTCACTCACTACATTCTTGGGAGTGCCTAATTGATATTTTAGTTGAGATGTAAATAACTTATGCACGGGTTGCACTCCCTTTGTACTCACATACATTCATGTATATATGTATATATTATAAATTTTGAGAAGGAAAACATAAGAAACTGATTCATTATCCACTATGATAGATCCAATCTCTGATTCGGGTTCTTGGATCTCCATTGGTTTAGAAAGAACAGTCTTCCTTGTGTAGAACTCAAGTGACATTTGTATTTAGATAAGACACAGTCTTCGAGCTCAGTTTCAGAATCATACTTAGGTTTGCTTTGAAATGCATTGTCAGATTCAGTTGTTTATTGAAAGGAGAGTAGTTGCTATAACTGAGACCCCCAGTTCTTTGGAAGGCTCAACTCAAGAGGAAGAAGAAAATCCCTTTCTTCTTTATCTTCTCTAGAAACCCTTTCTATTTGACGATAAGAAACACGGAGAAAAAACTATAGAAATGAAAAATTTTGAAAGACCTCCTTGAGATGGGATAGTTATACTTGTATCTCTTCTTTCATATAACCCTTTCTAGTGGTTAAATAAATCTCAAGAGAAAACACATTTGAAACTCTTTGGATTAAGTTTTTCTCGTGGATATTCAGAAAGGAGACAACCGAACATATATGTGTGTGTATATATATAAGAAAAGAAAAAACCAAGCAAATTTTTTAGGTGGTAACTTGCAAGAACCAGTAAAATCAGGAGAAATTTCAGAAAGCGTAGTTATAGCTTCCATATAGATGCACTGGACTTGTGGCTCTGTTTATTATTTAGGTATATTGTCGTTAAGGTGGTTATTATATAATATCATAAAATCATCCAAATAAGACCATATGTATGATATCTAACGTTGATTTTTCAAGACTGCTATATTTCCAGGCTGGGGTGTGTTTCATGGCTGATCGAAGGGATTCGGTTTAACTCTGTAAGGTTAGAGTCATACGGCTGTGTTTAATTTCCTGAATTTATAAAATTGCTGACATTTCGGAGGCAAAAATCTGACGATTTTACTTTTTATTAACATTTCTGTTTTGTCGTGAACACGTTTTTAAAAAACTTTAAAATATATTAGTTTACAAGACCTATGCGAGCTTCTAAAAGAATATCTATACAGAGTATACTACTGTATAAATTCAGTTTGGTTATTTAAAAAAAAAAAAATCCATTTTAGAGTGAGTTTGTAATGAATCTAGAGATTTTTGACGATGTAGCAAAATTCAATCTTCAAAATTGCCTGCTACACCTTACAATTTTAAGATTATTTTGCTCAGATTTTGGGATGAATCTCCATATACTGTAAAATTATTATAATTATAAAATTATAATTCAGAAATTTAGAAATAAATAACTACGAATAGATCGTCCACGTGTTTTGTTTCAAAATCTAATTATATGATTTGGTAAGACACAGAACTAAATAAATCCGACTCTAAAAGCGACACTGTTTTCCAAACTATCCAAATCCAGCCAAGCAATTTTCACCATAGAAAGTGTTACACAAAGCTAAAATGCCATTTAATGATAACTAAAACTGATAATTAAATACAACATGTATATACATAATTAAGATTAAACGGATAATTAAACACAGAAATTACACAATTAAATTCAAAAAACCCAAAAGAAATAAAAAAGAAAATACTACTGACCCATTACATTCTACAAATTGAGCCTTCATAAAACTAAACCCACCGACTCAAACCCATTCACATAATAAAACATTAAACAGTACTATGGATCCATAAACCCACAAGCCAGAGCTTGAACTAAGAAAACTCTCCATATATATGTTTTATTACCAAAATGGCTGCATGCATGTGCCCTTAATTTGCGAGGTACCCTTCATATATATACATATATATATATATGACTCTGTGCCCGTATCACCCATTTCATCCCCTATGCTGAGCCGTAGCTGCCGCTTCATGCATCCGCCTCTTCGCCTGCTCCAGCTGCTGCGGCGCTTTCTGCCGGATACAGCTCAAGACCCAGGACAGGGACGATAACCCAGTGAGGCCAAACATGCCGGAGGCCAAGAAGGCCGTAACGGCAAGACCGACAACGATGGTAGCCGGGACAAGAACTGGACTGAAGATGATGAAGAGCGGAGTGGTGACAAGTAGGCCAATGACGGACCCGGCAAGGGTCAGCCCCGCGAGTGCAAGCAACGTGCCACCGACGGGGAGGAGGGTTACGACGGCAAGGATTTGGGTAGCTGTTAGACCGCCGGGCTGTCCCTTGACCTGGGATGGATGCACCACCACCTGCTGTGGCTGACGCTCCGCCATTGACGAAGTTGTAAGCAGCTTCGGAAGAAAGAGAAGAGAGAGACAGATATAGAGAGAGAGAGGGAAGTGGGAATGTGAGGGGTGAGGTGGTGTCCTGTGGTTTTATAGAAGATGAAGGTGTGGAGAAGAGTGACACGTAAGGAGGTGACATGGAGAGCGGAGGCTTTGCATGGGAAACAAGTTTCAGTTGCAAAGTTATTCATAACAATAAACATTTTCTTGAATCCACAAAACAAATAATAATAATAATAATAATAATAATAATAAACTATACTTCAATTTTTATTTCCAGTATAAAATTATAAATTTCAAATAAATAATACTTACTATAGCAATAACAAAAAAATTAATTTTTAGTAAATAAATAATATAATTAATTTTCTAACAAACATACACCTAAATTTATAAACAAAAAAGGAAATACCGACCCAATCAATCTTTGTTATCGTTTTATAATTTTCTGAATTTATAATTTTTATATCTTATATTTTGTAAAATCAAAAAGATAAATATTATGTAAAAAACTAAAAAAGATTGAACTATAAATAAATTAAATTTCAAAAGATGAAATTGTAATTTTTGTTAAAAATATTTACAGTAGGAGAAGGAAAATTAAAGGGAAAGAGAAGTGAGGTGTCCTATGGGTGTTGAGGATTTGTTGCCACATGCACCAATGTCGGTGAGTGTGCACCGAAACGCCACCGTATCAGTCCTTCAGTTAGTGAAACGGTGCGTTTTGGTGAGGGCATCTGGGTTTTGGAGCAGGCTGGCCTGAGCCCGTTAACAGTTTACCATACATTGTTTTATTGTATTTCAGTTGCTATGAATTTTAATCTTCTGGGAGCTTATTCAGATTTTGTTTCGAATTAAATCAAATGAATTATTTAAAATTAATAGTATATAAATGGAGTTAAAATATATAATTATTTTTATAAAATTTAATTTTATTTAAATTAGTCTGTAATATTTTTGTATTATATTCTACTATGTACGTTCAAAAATAATTCGAATAAATTTTATTCTCTTAATTTCGTATAACGGGATTTATGTTTGTTCAAATAAGATTCTCAAGTTTCGAGTTTCAATAGCAATCAACAATACTCTCAAAATATGAAATCCGAATTGCTTGATAATGTCTAATTAGATTGTTGCTATCACAAGTTTGATTTTTACCCTTCCAATAATCCCTAGGATCTTTCTATTCAATTCAATAAATTTTGATGGTGGTGTTGGAGGTCGCGGAGTCTTGTAAGTAAGAATCTTGTTACTATTTAAAAATATTCATTTTATTATAAAATAAGATCGAATTACATTATTCTCAATACTTATTATTGTAATTCAATGTTATAAATAAATTAACGTTACTAAAATTATGTCAACTTGTTTCGTTTGATATTGTTCGAACTCGAATTTAATTTTTTAAAGAAATTTTTAAAAAAATAATAAAATTTTAAATATAATAATAATAATAATGGAATTAATAAATATTATAAAATAACAAAAACAGTCAGCATAGTAATTAAAAAAAATTAGAATAACAAAAAATTGCCTTATATGCTAGCCTTGGCCCAACCCATTAGAAGAATTCTTATGATTGGGTCGGACCCAACCCATCTGTAATTAGTGGACCGGCTGGCTCGATATAATGGAACTAGGTTGGCATGATCCATTCATTTTGACATTTATATTCTATCCATAATTACACGGTGTGTTTTGTATGTATGTATGTATGTATGTATGTATATTGATTTCTATCTAAAAAAAAACACGAACACTTTATTGTTATTGAACTTTTAGGGTACATCTACCGCTACATTTTGTTTTGTTTACACGAATGGGGGATAATTGTCCAAATTCAAGTCACTAATTATGTAATAATAATATTATGAATTTGAGTTAAATATTATTAAATATTTTAAATTATATAAAATAATTAAATTTATAATATTTAATTTAACGAGTGAGATTAAAATTTTAATTTATTAATATTTTTTATAAGACGGTAATGATTAAATTAAATTTAATAATAATAAATTATTAACATATTCGAATAAAATGAACATTAAATTGTAATTAAGTTATCTTAATTAACATAAAAATAAAAATTTAATATAATTTTTCTTTTATTTTTAGACACTTCACACCTATATAAATATATACGTATATATGTAAATGCCAAAAAATAACTAAATAAATAATATTTATTATTAATTTAACTTTAATTTAACCGTAATAGAAGAAATTGTGAAGGACTTCGGGTTGGTGTCTGGAACATCGTTTTTTCCACTACACTTTCCAACAGTTTTCGGTTCTTGGATTTTTTTTGAATTTTCCTGCTAAAATCAAAACTTATGTTAAATACCGTAGAAATATGTAAAAAATGACTAAATGGGTCAAAATTCTCACCGAGGGCTAATTTAGGGTTCCGGCACGGTGGTACCATGATGCTCCGCCGCCGGTTCTGCCTTTTACGGCGACTCTTCCTCTTGGTTAGGCTAGTTTAAGCCAGTTTTGGGTGAAAACCTGCATAATTTAGGTTAGGTGGCTTTTATTGGTTTAAAAAGGAGTAAAACCAAAACTTATCGGCAATTCTGTTTTTTCAGTGCGACAGCTCCGTTGTTTCTTCCTCATGGTCGCGACCTTCCTTCAGTTGCCCTGCACCAAAAATATGTTAGATAGCATAGGGTCGAGAAACACAAGGAAACGAGAAAAGGATTCGAGCCCATCGGAGGGATTTTTTGGTTTCGGGTGCGGCGGTTCCGCCAAGCCCCATCCTCCGTTTCTAGCTTTCCTTTGGGTTTTCTAGCGTCGATAAGGATTTTAGGTAGTTTAGAATGGAAAAACAAAACGAATGGGAGAAAAATTAATTTACTGACATCTATTTGGGTCTCCGATGTAGCGGCAACGGTGGCTGGTCTTCTTATCCGGCGACTGATTCACTTTTCGACTGCCATTCTTCTTCTTCTCCAGTGGTTTTTTTTTTTTTGTGGGTAGGGTTTTGAGAAATTCGGGTAAAGAGATTTAAACACCTCTCCGCGTTCAATATGGACCATCCGTTTGGATTCGTGTGGGTCAATCTCGACCGTTAGATCTCACTTATTTGAAAAACAAATAAGAGTCGTTCGATTGAAAGCACATGGACCGTTCGATCGCGCCTAATAAAAAAATGGAATGTGAATTACTCGTGTGGCCTCCTACATGGAACACGTTCTGGCATTTTGCCACGCGGCGCATGATGACTGGTCTTGCTGCTGACGTACCCCTCCATTTTTTTTATTTTTACACTTCGACTCTAGTTTTTTAATTTTTATTTTAGATAAATTTTTTTTTTTATTTTTAATTTGACATATTTTTTTAAAACTGTTAAAAATTATTTTTAAATATATTTAAAATATATATTTATTTCGAATGTATATTATTTTTAGACACTTCACACCTATATACATATATATATATATATATATATATATATATATATATATATACATCACTTTAGCCAAATCTACGGGAAAAAAAAATGATATTCCCACTCTCGTTTTATACATATACAATGGTTGTCAAATCGATGTAAAAATAATTAATGCTATGTTATTCATAGAGAAGTACGGACTTGATGGTTAATCAGGGGACCAAAAATCATGGTTGATTTTTGTCTTTTTATCATTAAAATGAAAAGATAGTAAAGAAAAATTAACAAAAGGTGATTTGTTTAAACATCAATTAGCATGCCTTAATCAAATCCTTGATTATCGAGATTATATCATCATTAAAAAAAATTAAAAAATATATATATATGACCATAATATATCGTCATATGTATCAAATCTTATTTTAAAAAAAGAATAAAATCTCTTCCTCATAAGATTCATTTTATCCTCATCTTCTACATATATATTATGAATGTGGCAGAAATATATCACTTCAATATCACCGCGACAAAATTAAATTATTAATTAATTATTATATATATTTTCATAATTTTTTTTTTTTTT